TCGCGCAAAATCGTCCCAGTACTTTAGTACTGTACATTTAGTTCTGGAACTAAAGCGGTGCGAAAGGCCCTAATGAGAGGCAGATTCACAGATACAGCGTTTCCTTGGTTACCGCTGTAAACGCTGAAACACTGCTTTAATGTGAATTATACAGAGACCATTTCTGTCTTTTTTTTTTGGCTAGTAGAAGTTATGAATGTCCGGTAACTTAAAAATTTAGTAGCCAAATTGGCTGTTGAGTGAAAAAGTTAATTTCAATCCCTGTTGAGGAGACATGAAAAACAGCGCATACCGCACGAACGGTATAACGGAAAATATTAGTGGTTTTAAAACCGTGAAATTTTCAAATCGCGGTATACGTTGAAACCGGTAATCGGCCCATCCCTACTTCACACTAACTAGGTTGCATGATATACAGGTACTACGATAGTATCACAATGCCCAAGCTTCAAAATACCGGCAGTGCCACAGTACATTACAAAAGAAATGTGATGCATGTACTGCATGAGAATATACTACCATGGATCACATACAGTACTCCATGGCATATATTATTTGAGTCCAGTGTTTCACGTGCCAGTCACACAAGATGCAATATGGAGTGCAACAGGGTGGGAGAATTTGACAGACAGAGTGGCCAAACATCTGTACATAAGCCAACCATTCAAAAAATTGCTCAAGAGAAACACAACAATGTGAAAGCGAACCAAACAAGCACCACCAGCGATGAGTTCTGTGAATTTTTGAGAAGTTTGGGTTAATAATTATTACAGCAGAACAGCCTCTGCAATAACACAATAAAAGAGGTATCAGGATACTACTTGGTATTGTGCCAAGTGTGTTTTTCATACATTACCATTCAAATTGTTTGGATCAGGTGACACTAAAGACTGGAGTAATGGTAGCTGAAAATTCAGCTTTGTCATCACAGGAATATATTTAAAAACTATTTAAAAATATAAAACAGAAAATCACAGCATTATTTTACAATGCTAATGTCTTCAGTTTCCATTAAACATATGCAGCCTTGTTGAAAATAAGAGTCTTCTTTCAAACACATTTAAAAACCTTACAAACCCCAAATTTTGAACGGAAGTGTATTCTAAAAATTATGATTTCGCAAATGGAAAGAGGATGATCGAACAGATTCAAAATTAGCACTCTTGCTTTCGAGAATTTTTCCTACAAACAAGCTTGAATCATGCAGCTCATGTACATGGCCAATCCAACTAGCTTCGTGACAGGCTAATCATTCCAGCTTTTCCACTGAACTACAGTAATCAGGAATCTCTTTGTAATGGGTTGTACCATCTAAAGTCATAAATGCCTGAAGCTCTTCATTGTTGACCTAAACCTGTTTGCATCTCAGTGACTTTGTATCGTCTTCCTGTTTTTCCATTATGATCTACAGTTACGTAAAACCTCAAAAAGCTACAAGTATAACAATGCTTGTGGCCTTTCCATGTGTCAGTCCTCCTACATAACAGAATAATCTGAACTGTAATGACCTCTTAAAGGATTATACATTTTGACAGTGGTGCGTTTTAATGCAAATAAGCTCAATAATATGAATAATTTTTCAAAATGCAAGGAAACAAGACATAAGAATGTTTACATACAACACTAAGATGAAAACAGAGTACCACCAGCTGACAGAGGAATACAGGCAGGTTAACTGATGACTGCAATTTCTCTTCAAATGCATCCAATAAATATGAACAAGGCTCACTCCATGAAGGTTAAACTAATCTAATCCCAGTTCACTCTAGCTGTCAGACAGTCGTAGCTAAGAACTACATCAAGACTAACGATGCTTCTTAAATGCTCCTTGCCCAAAATTATAATGGACTACGGTGGTTTTCTACACAACAAATTACCTGGAAGCCAAACATAAAATGTAAACAATGGCCTACATCAATTTACCTTGACATTCGCTTATATAACTACTACAAAAACAAACTAAGCCTGAAGTTAAAGCTACTTTATGTATGGACAAACACAAGGGGCTACAATTTGTACTCAGTTTATTAAAGCATATCAATAAAATTCATAATAAACCCTATTTTTTTTCTGCCTGCCAGGGGTTGTTATAAATGTATCAAGCATTACACAGCAAGCAGTTTCAGGCTCAAATTTCATTGGCTGAGCAGTGTTTCAAGAGTGTAGTTATTTAAAATAACAGCACAGGGACACAGACCTGAGTATGTAAGAATGCAAGGAGTACGTTGAGAAGTGGAGCAGTGTGACTTTGCTTGCCTTAATTAGCAGGTTTTTAAAGGTCACTGTGCCTGTGCGTTCTCTTCACCTGGGTTTCTCTCAGTGAGTGCAAAATGCAAAACACAGGATGGAATTAAGGCCAAGGATTACAGAAGGCTTGGATCAAGAAGAAAAAATATTCTCCGCTCATAAATAGTGATCCAGACCAGGCTTTCATTTTGCTTGCAAACATGTAAAAACTGTTGCCCTGGTTTCTTTTGGAACTATTACATTTTTTAGTACAAGAAATATAACTGGCTACTTTCACCTGAAGAGAACTTACTACATACTAATCTACCTGTGTACTAACTGTATTAAGAAAGCAATATCAATCACAATTGGGAGGAATTTTAGCCATGCTAATATGCAGTAGGCTACAACAGAACTTTCTCTATATTGCTTAAATATTAATAGACTTAATAAAAAACGTTACCTGACAGGCCTTGCACTTCTATTAAGAATTACAATTGATATAATTAGCTTATTATAAATCTATGACATTATTTAGTGTAGAGCTAACATCCTGTCATTGCTTATCAAAACTGAAATATCAAAAACAACGCAAACGGCGGTTATGTTGACATTGTTCTTGTATGTACTGCAGTCCTTATATCGTGTCGATTCATTTCAAGTAAAACTGTTTAGCTGTCACAGGGCGATTTCATTTCAAAACACATCACGAAGAAGCTCGATTCGAATATTATCTTCGCTCTCTGTTGAAAAATAGAGGCGCGGGTCGACGGAAATAACAGGAATGCTGGCAAAGGTTACATTGTAGCCAAACACAACATTCCTCTCGTTGAGCAAAGACAAATTGGCAGGATCGGATCGCTCACCGATCATGCTAATCAAGCATGGGAATGCTCCCTCTGATGACAAATCACATCATTGAGCACCAAAAAAAAAAAAAAATCAAAATCGTAACAGACAACCTAAACCACGTTTACGCTTAAAACTTACCTCCTAAAAGGTGAGACGAAGTGACAAGCGCCTCTGAAGGCTTCCTGTTCTAAAGTTGTCGTATGCCGTTGGAAAAAAACATTGTACGCGGAAGTGGAGACCAATTCAAGCGCGCGACGTTTGACAGCAGATATAAAAGCAGGACTAAATCATTCCTCTTTATGTGCGGATGATCATTAAATATGTTCAGCGAACCCCGAGTGCACTCGACTGAAAACTGTGTTTTTTTTTCCCGTTTGAGACGTAACTTTTTGCCGTCCACTGCCTTCCCGTGACTTGCGACCACCACAGGCCGAAAGATGTCCAAAGACCGTTTCATGTATCCCCGTATGGTTCCGTTGTAGTGTTACACTAAATTTGTTCCCCTTCATTTATATGGCTCTCAGGGCTCTTGAACGCGTGTTCAGGGACACTACGGCCCCCCTGTCTGTGTTTGGATGTAGAAATGTATATTACGTGAAACTCCACCATCCTAGCTTGCATTTTTAAAAACACTTCACTCATATTGATTTTTGTATGCACAGGAAATATGATAGGCCTTTTTGTACTTCCATTTTTCTAGTTAATCTCTGAAATTCAGTGAATTTGGTACCTGACAGGATGTAGGCCACCTCATGAAGCTTTTCACACAGACAGAAAAAAAACTCAGCATGAACAAGTATTTTTTTTCTTTTAATGGAATGCATTTGATCTCAAATCATATATTGAACTCTAGAGAAAAATCCATACTCTCACAACTGAATCTCAAGAATATTGTTTATTGCTCTTGAAGATATTACTCTTTGCTCATTTTTTTGTTCTAATCATCCTTTCTGTTTTAAATTTCACAATAAAACAAAGAAAAGCTTTACTGTAAGGTAAATGGTATTTTTTCTTTTCAGTGTGTACACACAAATACACAAAGTCCTATGTACAGCTGAAATCTCCTCTAGTATGGGCAAGTCAAGGGCACAAACTGTCATGTAACAAGTTTTTTTAAGTTCTTATCTAGAATCAGATAGTACCTTACCAAAGAATCAGAAGAATATCTGGAAATATTGTTGGCATAGGTTGATAAAATCTTACTTGCATTTTGCTTTTGTATAAATCGTTATCTTTACCCACCAACTTGTCTGAATTGTATTTAACTGTTAATCATATTGTGTCATTCTGCTCCTATTTATTGTTTTTACATTCAAATCGGATGATCATATATCAAACTTAATAACATTAGAATGAACACTGGTTAAAAAATTTGCAAATGCTGCAACTAATATTATTCACACTTGATTCATTATAGTACATCACCACTGGGTGAATGAATTATTGAAATATGAGACTAGCGGCATAACTCAGTCCAGAAGGGTCATCTTGGAGGTATCTGGGGAAAATTTCCACAGGGCACAATTAGAAACAGCAGAAGTGTTTTGCACACTTCCCTGTCTAAACGCCATTCTTATGAGCATGTGAAAAACAAGTGCTCTTTCTCTGTCAACTTTGGCTCACTACACATACTGTATCCATTTTCCCATCTCATATATCACTCTTCAGTTAGGTACAGAGTAAAATGACACCAATACAACTATCCCATACAGTAATAGTAATTAAACAATGTACACAATAATAAAATATATACAATGAAATAGATACAAACTTTAAATATTCACTGGCATGAGTAGTATTGACTCTGTCTCTCATTCTCAGGCTCATACATTTTTTTTAATGTTTTAAAAAAGACATGGACTGGACATGAAAATTGAAAGTGAACTTAAATAAATAAATACAAAAACTTAAATAAATAATACATAGATAAAGTTTCTCTTCAGAAACTTTGAAGGGCTTAGATAAATATAACCACAAGATGGCAATGTTTGACCATGTATATGTCTGAATTCCTTGGAATCAGCGCAAAATTAAAAACAAAAGTGCTTTATTGCAACACAACTGAATCACCTTCAAATTATTATGAGTGTTGCCATTATTGCATTTTGCTTGTGTTACGCTGTTCATCTGAGCACTGTATTTCAGAGCTTAGCATTAACTAATGGAAAAGTCTGTGAAATACACCAAGCAGAACAAACTAACTGCCTATCTCAGCAGGGCCAGAACGCAGTGCAATTTAAAAAGTAGGTGATAAAAGATATGCATATTTCATTACTGTGCTGTCTTGGCTATAAAATATCTCATCGTTACTGTTCCTAACAGAAATGAGAGAATGAAAATTCTTTAGATATTTAAACATTCTAATCCGAAAAGCAGTTTTTTTGTGTGCTGCACTTTTACTCTCAGAATAACAAAAACTCTAATTGCACTACTGTCTTACTGTGCGATTTAGAAATTGAAGAAAGCAGAAACTGAAAGTTCTGATATTGGAACAGCATGAGCGAAGAATGGCTTCGGAGGACTCCGGAAAAGAGGAAGGAAAAAATGAAATGGGAATATACAGCATAATTTCACAAATGCAGGAATAAACAGACAGAAAGAGAAAGAGAGAACCTGCAAGACATCAAAAATCACACAACAGAACATATTAACTGTGAGCAAGTTTAAGTGTCTCTTTTTCCTTGTGCCTGTCGGCCATAGTGAGGGAGGGAGAGAGGGATGGAGGCAGGGATGATGGTGGAGGAGTCAGGGGTGCCAGACTTTTAAGGGGATGCGGAGACACGGGTGAAGGAAGAGAAGAAAGAGGGGGCAAGACTCCCCTGAGACCCCCAGATTTGGCCTCTAGAAGGTGTGAGCGACCACCCAAACCTGGTTCCTTCCCCAGAGAGAAGTCCGGCTCGTTCTCGTTCTCCGAGCTGCAGTCACTCAGGTCTGTGATCTCCAGCTCAGAGTCAGACTCCGGATCCTGCTTCACACCCTTCCTCCGCTCGGAAGGGCTTTGACGGCCTCCTCCTCCTCCACCAACTCCACCCAAACCCAATCCAAGGCCTAACCCCAAACCAAGACCTCCGCCTGTTACGGCAGTGTTGGCCTCCCCTCTTTCCCGGTCGCCCAAACCCGTACCCCCGTTCCCCAGCTCAATCCGACCCAGTGGCAAGCTCCCTGGGTATGGTGGGATGCAGAGTCTGGGAGGCTGACCGCCCGCAGAGCCGTTCGTTCCTCCCGTTTGACCACGTTCTGCCCCGGTCGTGTCTCCGGGGGGTAAGAGCGAAGAGAAGGGGTGTGACAGCTGAGACAGGCTGGATTGGAGTGGGTTGGGATAGAAATGTGAGGAGTAGAGGGAGCCTGGGGGCAATTTGGGACAGCTGTTCAGAGAAAAGGCCCCTGGGAGGTAGGGGTTGAAGCCCCAGGAGTAGTCAAAAGAGGGGTTCCGTGGGTAAGGACCCAACAGGGATGGAGGTTTGGAGTAACAAGGAGCCCCTGTGGGAGAAATTGAAAAACATGGAACGGAAACCAGTGTTAATGTTTAAGATCAGATGTTAGGGCCATGACTGAGAACAGAGAATGTGAGGCAACTCATTCTCAGAGAGAAAATTAGAGGGTTGTTATAAATCATATGGCCTATTCCAAAAATGTATATATATTTATGATTTTAAATGATTTAAAATATGATTTAAAAAAAATAAATATTATTTACATTTGAGAATATTATGATAAATTATTAATTCCTCTGTTGATTTTTATTTCTCTCTTTCTCTCTCTCTCTCTCTCTCTCTCTCTCTATATATATATATATGATCTACATTTTGATTAAAAAAATACAGTAAAAACAGTAATATTGTGAACTAATATTACAATTACAAATAGCTGTTTTAATATATTTTCTAATGAAATTTATTCATGTGATGGCAAAGCTGAATTTTCAGCAATTATTAATTAATTTTTTAGTTTGTGTCTAATTATTTGTAATGTATTAATTTAAATAATGAATTTTGTGTTATATTTAAAGCCCCTTTCACACAGTAATACCAGTAAATTGCCGTAAAATTACTGTAATGACTTTACTAGTAAATACAAAAATGTGCGGTTCACACAGGCAACGACGTTCCGTCTATTACCGGTAAAGCACCATTCACACATCAGTTTCAAAATACCAGTAAATTCTGTGACATCATCCCTCAATTAGGGCCTTCCTGCTTGGGAAGGGATTAGGACAAGGGGTACACATGGGAGGCAGAGAGGGGTAAGAAGAGGAGGAGGGCGGAACAGGACCTCAGGACAAACAAAGTTGAAGGGGTGAGGGGGGTGTTTTGGGGTGGGGAGTCGCATTGACATACTCATGCCCTCATACATTCTGATACACTGGTATTTCAGTGTACATTCAGAGCATTTGAAAAGACAAAGGAGTGTGCACATGACACCGTATCACTCTCAGAGGAAGTGCTAGAGTGCAGAAGTGTAGAATGCAAATGGAAACTAGCACTGTCAAGAATGTAGCTATTTCATGAATCTAAATGTAATAAAAATACTACTGATAACAGTCTTAAATCTTAACTCACGTTTATATAACTTCACTGCTCAGATGAAGAAAGAACCTTTCCTAATTAACACGAATCCATCATTTTCTCTGTTACATTTGTTAAATTTGTTGTTCTGTTTAATTTATGTCTCACCTGAGCTGAGGAAAGGAAAAGTGTCCAGTCTCAGCTTGTCCCCATCAGGACCTGGGGCCCCTGCACTGCGCTCAAACAGAGAGGGCCCTCGACCTGATTCAGGCAAACGAGGGAATAAAGACTGAAGGGCCTAAGAAAGATGGGATAGAGAAAACACAGTGTCAGGATCATTACACAGTGAAAAAATTAGTGAGAAGAATTAGTTTAATAAATTACATTGTGTATAAACAGTGACTGAATGACAGATTAACAGATCAAGAAACATTTATTATAATCTATTTTAAAAACAGTTGCTTAATATTTTTGTGTACACCGAATCCTGGTTTCAGGATTCTTTAATGTACAGATAGCTCGGAAGAACAGACTTTATTTGAAATAGAAATATTTTGTAACATTATGGTTATGGCTTTATATACATGTATGGCTTCACTGTCACTTTTGACCTTGGTTACTAAAATAAAAAAAAAAATACATATATATATATATATATATATATATATATAATATGTATTGATATATATTGTGTAAAGAAATCTTTGCATCATTAAAAATATCATAATTTTAATAAAAAGATATTACTGGTTTATATATATGCTTGATTTCACACTCACACTAATACTTTATATGGTTTCTACAGTGTTTTTGCTTACATTAAAAATGTAGAAGAATTAGTTTAATAAATAACAGTACATAAACAGTTTAAATGACAAAGCGTAACTTAATAAAAATTATCTGAACAATATTAATAGTATAAATAATTTGTTTGTCAATTTTACTAAATATTACAAATATTAATTTATATTTTATAAATTAGTAACAATTTTATTGTGATGTTTATGTAGTACTAAAAAATTTGAAGTCATAAAATATGAAAATAAGTGATGAATAGACCAAGAATTCACTGCTGTAAATTCACAATCAGACGATAAGAAACGTGAAACTATCATGACATCTTTAACGCTGTCTTAGAAATCTTGAAATAAGAAAGGCTTAAAGACTTCATAAGATGTCAGTCAGAGTAGGCCACAAAGAGATCCTGGGGTTTACCTCCCAAAATGTGAAATGGCTTTTGGGAGCAGATTAGAAAAGGGTGGTGGGGGATAAAGCTCAATAAAGGAAACCTGGAAGTCATCGCAGGAATCTTAGCGGATGAGCGCCGTAAAGATTTTCTCTTTTTTTTTTTTATTAGTGACATGAAGGTGATCAATAATTTGTCACTCTTCTCTTCTCAGTGAGAAAAGGCAGGACTGTACTTCGAAGCTACGTAATCTGGATTGCTTAACAAAAACCGCATTAATGACACGGCACTGATCTGACAGCCCCACCTTCTCTTTCATTTCTCACATGTCTTTCATTTTCAATCAATGGCAGTGATGAGTACGCCATCCCAGACAGAGATGAGAGGAAAGGGATAATGTCTTCTTTTGTTTTAAGGCTTCTTAACGCCATCTGTGACATTCTCTCTACTTTCTTCTTCACCTCATATCTCTCTCTCTTTCCTTTCTCCTTCAGTCTCCTCTAGTCAAGATGTACAGCACATAACTTTCTCATAGAATGACCTGGGTAGATATTTTTTGTGCGGCTAAAATAAAGACAGGTTATTACTAAAAATGGTATTACTGCATTTTATGAGTCTACTTATTTTACCTTACCATGTATAGCAAATTTGCCACCCTTTTAGTCTTTTAAACCATTTATACTTTTAAGGTGCATATTTTAAGTGAATTCAGGTTTCAGATTTGGCGAAACCTTTATTGATGAAACCTATTCTCAGTCTTTTTGTATTCAAGCAAACATATAAATTTATGCTTTGCCCCTGGTGTTCAGATGATAACTATTTTAGTTAAAGTTTAACATTGACCGAAAGCAAACAATTGCAGAAGACCAATACTAGAGCAATTACAGACAGTGAAAAAGAAATAAAATAAATACAAAAAAAGATACCTACATACTGATTGACTCTGTACAATCAATAGCCCGATCCCTCACATCAAAGCTAATACGGAGAGCCTTATACAGCATGGATAAAAAAAAAATCCCATCAATCATTAAACACTGGCAATAGAGCTGTTATTACCACAGAGCACATCTTCAGCGCTTCAGGTTTTTGTTTGACTTTATTCTTCTGTTCTACCTAGAGGATCATTCCTGTCTCTCATTACCCTGAGTTCTGGTCTGATGATATTTTGCTTCTGTAAACGCACTGAATATGATATATTTATTTTCTTCGTACCTCGGGTGTGACAGGGCTGCAATCCGGTGTTGCGGCTCCTCCATTGAAGTGGTTCTGGGCCAGCAGGAACGGAGAGCTGGCCATGTCCAGCAGTGGGTAATTCACCAGAACCACCTTACTGAAGTTGAACTTGTAGGTGAAGCGCTTGCCTTTAGTTTTGTGCAAAATGCGTTTGTTGTAGTAGTACCTGCAGGTTGGAGAACAACAAGCTAAATGTTTCAATTCTGTCATAATTTACTCATGTCCTTCCAAATTTCTCCCTTTTGTGAAACAAGAAGATGTGTTTTGAAGAATGTCTCAGAGTTTTTTGTGCATACAACGAGATCCAATGTTGTTTTGTTCTTCAAGGTTTGGAATGACATGAGGATGAATAAATGACACAGATTTCATTTCTGGGTGAATTATCTCTTTAAAGGGGGGAAAGGCTGCCTCCTCCTCCACCCGAAACATTTTCCAGGGTCATGGCCTTCATTCGGGAATGCCAGCCTTGTCAGCTTTCTGTTCTGCACGGTGATGACTGCTTAGATTTCCCTTAACATCACACAACCGCATATCGCTCAGTTGGAAATAAGAGATGGATCTGTTCAGACTCGTTGAGTCTTTTCCCCTGACCATCACCCGTTCGCATTCATCACGCATGTCAGAGCGCTTTGAGGATGCACACCTGTGCATGAGAGCGAGGCTCTTTAATCTCAGCACACTTTATGCTTGACTTCACCTTACCCAGTCCAGCAGCCTACACGAGTTCCCGTGATGCAATCTGCTGGTGCAATCATTTGTAAGCTTTTATTTTATGTGGCAATTGTGGCCCTTAATTGAGCAATTAAGCAAGGCTAATCAACGAGGCTAATTATGGCCTGTGCCTATTCATAACAATTAGCGGCCAACGACAGCATCTATTAAAGGGAGGTTGGGGGAGGAGGGAGGAAAGCAGAGCGATAAAAGAGACAGGATGAGAAATGGATACGCATTTTTGAATGAATACGCGCAGAAGTACTTCAACCAGGGTCAAAGTTCAAACCTTCAATGTTTTATGTTGGAGTTTGGAGTTTGAAAGGGGATCTGATATAAGTTTGGTGAGGTACGAATCAATTTTAGAATTTTAAAATCCCCATCGTCAAGTATTCTTTATATGAGGCGCTCGCCGGAGAACATCCAGAATCCATTTAGATGTTCAAAGATTCCACAAATTGGACTGTATTGATGTTCTTCAGAGGGAAGGCAGCACTTAAAATATCCACATACTATCAAGCATAGAGGGGCCATTGCTATTATACAGGATATTATGTGAGGAAAAAAATAAATGATGGATTTCCCCCATCAGATGCAAGATAAAAACACACACAGAGAGAAGAAACAGCCAAACAGGCTGTATACTCAACAAAGCACACCATCTAGAATATAAATATTGCATGAGAGAACAATAAAAGGCAGCAATTATGCATTAACACAGAAAACAATCCAATGAATATGAAACACGCATGCTGTGCATACCTAAGTGCTCGGCTGAGCTTGTCGTAGTTCATGTGAGGTTTGCACTTCCGAAGGCCCCACAGTCTTGCCACTTCATCTGGGTCTTTGATCACAAATTCACCATAGTCTCCCTGCCAGGCAATCACCCCCTGGTATTCCTCCTTCTGCAGCAGCTCCAGGATGAAGTGCCACAGCTGGATCTGCCTGGAGCCTGGGCTTGATTCTGGCTTATAGGCCCAGTCTGGGAAGGCGATGCCTGAGGAAAAGGAGGTGAGTAAGTGAAAGGATTTGGATAAGGCCTGTTGGTTTTGTTACTTGCTAAGAGCATTTCTGTCTAAATAACTGATGAAGCGATGGGTGGTTTCATAGGGTATTTTGATCCTATGCATCAGCAGTGGGAATTTTTAAGCGATTATTTCTGCAGGTAACATCATCTCTCCAGTAGGTGGCGACAAGTGGTTGTCTTTATTAGTGAGTCATTTAAAACATTCATTCGAAACGCTATCAATTCAGCGACGAAACAACTGACTGGCTGCGTCCGAAAGCTGAAAAATGCTGCCTTCGGAGGATGCATTCCAAGGTAGGAAGGCATCAAGGCACTTCCGAATCCAATGTTAGCTTTACTTCCTGTCTGCTGAGATTCCTTCATTTGGCATTGCTTCATTTGTTCGATTTTTTTGGCTGCCTTGGATATCCCATAATCCTTTGTGTTCCATTCCGTGACAGTCGAGCCAAAAATAATTATGGCATCTAAAAGCTACAGTTGGTGGTCTGTTTATGTGCAAAGGTATGTTTCTGATTAACTTTTGATGTTATTTCTAGTGATATAGGTTTTTTTTTTTTTAGTTGTTACTAAAGCTGCTGTTTTGTTGTAGATCATTAAACCGTTATGCTGCCTCAGAAGCCTGTCCAAAATCAGTGTTGTGAGGGGCCTTCATGCACAAATGCTGCTTGTAAAGTCATTGCCTGATAAACCAGCGAGGCAAGAAGTCAGCACCAAGCTTTTGGACACAACAACTGTCTTTATTAAAGTGAGTCACTGAATAATTAACTCAAATGATTCGTTCAAAACACCGATTCATTCAGGAACTGAACACTATTTCTGTGAGGCAGAATCGTTGGAGGATCAAAAATATGCAAAGAAACTGGCAATAGACATTAGTCAAGTTAGACAGCATATTCAATTTAATGTGGATGAAAACAAGGCTGTGAAGGATAGACATACAGTGTTTACAATGGCATGCACTGTATATGTCATTTTCGCCAACTCACAATTTTCAAAACTGTTTTATGGAGCTTTTGCGTACTGAAAGTTTGTTTTGGGAAAAACATTTCATCGGCTGAACAGTCGGTATGTTCATGCTGTTAAACAACAGTACAATCAATTGAATGCACTTCTATCCCTCACCACCTCACTTTAATTCCTGTCAAAAATGAAATATGACGCTACCCTGACTATGGTCTATATTGTGTCTAAAATGTAAGTTGCTCAATATGAACTTCTATTTGAGTAAGCTGCAGTATAATAACATATCACACTTGCAGTCATGCTGTTGGTCGAAACAACACCAGTCTTGTTAGTGTGATAATTAACTTAAATATGTATCAATATGCAGCCTTGTTTTAAAAATCAATGTAACAGCTATGCATTTGTTTCTATTGTTTTGTCATACAGAACCATGATGGTGAAGAAAAAGACATTTAAGGTGGATGAAAAAACCTCTTCCAGTGTCTCACCTGGTGTCCAGAGGGCTGGGACGGGTGGCGTGAGCAGCAGATCACTAACACAGTTACAGTCCATACCTCCACTACACCTGCATTCACACAAAATTTGAGTGTAAACCATTGCAGTTAGAACACAGAATGCAAGGCTAAAGGCTAAAGCATAATACTTTGACTAAACAAATATGTGTCATGGGCTTGTGGACTCATTTCACCCACTACACACCAGTGTGTCAGAACATGCTGTTGTAAAGCATGAGGGCATGTCATTCCAGTGGCCTCTAAAATCAATCAATGCCTTTTCATTTGAAGGGTTTCTTTAAATATGGTTGCCGAAGGCTGTCCCTTCAGCCATGCAGAAGATCACTAAGCATTTCTTCTCAAAGAGCAATGTTCAAAAGACCCTATCTCATGCTGAACACATGACAGTGTGTGAGGCCCTCAAGCAATTAGTCCATATAGCTTCTCATAGGTATTTCTTTGCACTTTAAAACATTACATTTTGTGATAAAGTGATATTTTACAACAAATTAATTTAAGAGTAAGAAATACAAATTTCATTTTCCACTTGTTTTGCATTAAAACTGAACTTTATTTCCAAAGTGAAATATTCATGTTGCAGCGAAAGGAAATAAACACGCCACGGTGGGCATGTGTTCATACAAATAACTTCAAAGCAGGATATCAAAAATCATTGAAGATTGCATCTGGTATCAGAACAACTGGGAGCATCAGTAAAGATCCATCTCTCCATGCAGCAATTCAGTATACATGGCTAGAGAAATTCAATCTCTCCTCAGCCATCACAATTTCATAAAGGTTGTTTTACAAAGCTCGGGTGGAAGAAAAAGGAGCCGGTACAAGGGTATCTTTAATGCTGCCCTCTCCCTCTCCCCCTCTCCTCTCTCACTCTATTTAATTATGCTCTGTGAATTTTGGATCTTCCCTCCAGCATTGAAATGGAATGTGAATTATTGAGGTGTGTTTGTATAAATTATTATTGCTAACTCCAGGCACTTCTCTTTCACACACAAGTACACACACACACACACACACAACCTTTGTTGCTTTTACTCTTTAGACTGTCCACTTGCTCTCCCCCACCATCATACCATCTACTTCTCATCTTGCTCTTTTTATTTGTAACATTCATCTGTCGCTATTTAATGGAGTATCGTTCCTATTCAAGAAAGGCTGTATTCTTACTTACTATTTCGGTAGCTTTGCAAGGGCATAGAAATGTAGATTAAGACTTTCAAGACTTGCCTTAGCAGGACAGTCTTTTACTTTGTAATACTAGACTATCAAGTTAAGAATAGATATTACTTGAACGCTATTTAAAGCAATAATTGAGCACAATGCAACTGGTGCAGTCAATATCACACCTGTAAATGAATTCATTCAGAAATTTTCATCCACTTTCTGTGAAATTTGTATTCATCGGCCAGCCTATCCCATCAAAGGAAACCCGGCCTTACCTGCCCGTGCACCTAACTGCACCCTCGCTCTCTTACTCTCTCCTCTGTATGTTTTGCTCCCGCTCTGTAATTTTCCGTTTGATTTCGGAGGTAATGCATTTTTTACAAATCAAAGAGGAAGCCAGGACGCCCCCCGACCCCCCTTCCCTCGATCTCCTTCTTTTGCCCTGCTCTTCCCCTCCAGGCCAGTGAAGAGATAAAGGAGCCCCCATCATTTCCTTGTTAGTTTTGATTTGGGCAGCACAGGGCTTTCAAGTTCTCCCTATCACCCGCAGAAACATTATAACTAGCAGCCGAGGGAATACATCTTCTCACAATCTCCTAGATATGAAGACACTGATTCAGGGAGTGCACAACCACCACACACACCAGACCAAAAAACTCAGAAAAAAAGATGCACATACACATGGACAGGGCAACACAAAGTAACATTGTTCCCCCAGACAATGTGCTCAAATGCACTCTTGAGAAAGTAAAACTCTTCTGTGACAGGTACATATGATCACATCAATGTAACAAACTAACAGCAGCTCACAGTTATATCATCTGTGAGTAGAAAAAAGTGGAAGAAAATTTACACCCACACATTTTACTTGATTTTAAAATTATATAAATAATAATATATGTAAATATATGAATATAAATATATCTACGTATATATGTGTATACTAGGTGAATGAGAAAAAGAAAAAAATATATATAACACTTAAATAATTAATAATTTTATATATAAAAGAAAATTCTATTTTGTAAAGCAGATTTCATGGTTTAATATTAAATATTATGACTGTATGTCAAATAATTTTTAATCATTCAGTAAATCTGTTTTGTAATGGTGTGGGGATTCAGAAAATGCTAGTTTAATGCCATGGAAAAATTATTTCTGCTAATCTTATAGCACAAAAGCACTAAGTATGAAATAATAAGTGTGCTGTTATAAACATTACTGCATTGAAACACAGGCATTGATTACTCATTTATTATGGAATAGCGATGCCCTACAGATTTAACATGTTTACCCCTGTGACTAATTACATTTAGTGAAAACTGCTGATTGCACATTAATGTTTTGACAAAACAGGGCTGCTGGAAACAAGGTTGTAACACATTGGGTGGACCAAATATTAAAATGGTAAAAATGGTCCCAAAACAAAATTGTTAAAAGGTGAGGTACAGAGGTGGACTAAAGAGTGGAGGAAAAGAGACAGAACTGAGTGGCTGACATTGTTTCTAGTGAAAAAGATGGACAGCAAGGTTCTGAAGCAGAGATACTGAGGGAATGTGATGAGTCTCGTCCCTCTTGCTCTCTGCTCCCAGGACATGAAACAAACCCTCTGTATCTGTGTCATCTTTCTGTTTCGGGCTGCCACCGAAAAGGACTTACTGAGCACCCTCGTCCCTCTCTCTCTTTCTCCCCCGCCACTGTTCCTTCCGCTTTCCTTCTTTTACTTTCTCTCGATCTCTCGATTTCTCTTGACTCTACTCTGACAGTCTGCACAGCCTCAGGGTCAAAGAACAGAAGGACTGGCTTGTGTGTTTGTTATGAAGAAGGAAAAGGGGAGAGCAGGGGAAGAGAGGGGCAAGGAGAGAAATGGTCAAGATGGAGAACTTGAAATGGGACACATCTGACACGTTGTGAACGCTACCAGACAAAAATGGCAGTTCCTATGTAAACTTGTGGTTTCATTTGAAGGGTTTCTTTAAATATGGTTGCCGAAGGCTGTCCCTTCAGCCATGCACAAGATCACTGAGCATTTTTTCTCAAAGAGCAATGTTCAAAAGACTCTCATGCTGAACACATGACAGTGTGTGAGGCCCTCAAGCAATTAGTCCATATAGCTTCTCATAGGTATTTCTTTGCACTTTAAAACATTACATTTTGTGATAAAGTGATATTTTACAACAAATTAATTTAAGAGTAAGAAATACAAATTTCATTTTCCACTTGTTTTGCATTAAAACTGAACTTTATTTCCAAAGTGAAATATTCATGTTGCAGCGAAAGGAAATAAACACGCCACGGTGGGCATGTGTTCATACAAATAACTTCAAAGCAGGATATCAAAAATCATTGAAGATTGCATCTGGTATCAGAACAACTGGGAGCATCAGTAAAGATCCATCTCTCCATGCAGCAATTCAGTATACATGGCTAGAGAAATTCAATCTCTCCTCAGCCATCACAATTTCATAAAGGTTGTTTTACAAAGCTCGGGTGGAAGAAAAAGGAGCCGGTACAAGGGTATCTTTAATGCTGCCCTCTCCCTCTCCCCCTCTCCTCTCTCACTCTATTTAATTATGCTCTGTGAATTTTGGATCTTCCCTCCAGCATTGAAATGGAATGTGAATTATTGAGGTGTGTTTGTATAAATTATTATTGCTAACTCCAGGCACTTCTCTTTCACACACAAGTACACACACACACACACACACAACCTTTGTTGCTTTTACTCTTTAGACTGTCCACTTGCTCTCCCCCACCATCATACCATCTACTTCTCATCTTGCTCTTTTTATTTGTAACATTCATCTGTCGCTATTTAATGGAGTATCGTTCCTATTCAAGAAAGGCTGTATTCTTACTTACTATTTCGGTAGCTTTGCAAGGGCATAGAAATGTAGATTAAGACTTTCAAGACTTGCCTTAGCAGGACAGTCTTTTACTTTGTAATACTAGACTATCAAGTTAAGAATAGATATTACTTGAACGCTATTTAAAGCAATAATTGAGCACAATGCAACTGGTGCAGTCAATATCACACCTGTAAATGAATTCATTCAGAAATTTTCATCCACTTTCTGTGAAATTTGTATTCATCGGCCAGCCTATCCCATCAAAGGAAACCCGGCCTTACCTGCCCGTGCACCTAACTGCACCCTCGCTCTCTTACTCTCTCCTCTGTATGTTTTGCTCCCGCTCTGTAATTTTCCGTTTGATTTCGGAGGTAATGCATTTTTTACAAATCAAAGAGGAAGCCAGGACGCCCCCCGACCCCCCTTCCCTCGATCTCCTTCTTTTGCCCTGCTCTTCCCCTCCAGGCCAGTGAAGAGATAAAGGAGCCCCCATCATTTCCTTGTTAGTTTTGATTTGGGCAGCACAGGGCTTTCAAGTTCTCCCTATCACCCGCAGAAACATTATAACTAGCAGCCGAGGGAATACATCTTCTCACAATCTCCTAGATATGAAGACACTGATTCAGGGAGTGCACAACCACCACACACACCAGACCAAAAAACTCAGAAAAAAAGATGCACATACACATGGACAGGGCAACACAAAGTAACATTGTTCCCCCAGACAATGTGCTCAAATGCACTCTTGAGAAAGTAAAACTCTTCTGTGACAGGTACATATGATCACATCAATGTAACAAACTAACAGCAGCTCACAGTTATATCATCTGTGAGTAGACCCATACACACACAAAATATAATGTGTGTTTATGGGTCTACAAAAAAGTGGAGGAAAATTAATATATATATATATATATAAACATTTTTTAAATAATTAAAATATAATCCATTTATTGTTTATGTAAATATGTCAATGTATCTATGTATACATATATGAATGCTGAATGTGAAAATACCCTATAAATCA